GGGGGCGGAGGCTAAGGTTCAAAGCGTGCATACAGTTCAATGAGGGACTCATTCAGCTCGAACAGCTCAACATCAGCGTAACTTTCTCAGAGTTCATGTTTGTGGACTTAAAATGTTGTTGCGTTCTACGATTGTGTTCCTTACTTCATGGGTTGAGACAGTCAACTATTAATGGTATTTTCCCTTTTACTCGCCCTCCCTCCACACACCCACACACACAGACACACACACACACACACACACACACACACACACACACACACACACACACACACACACACACACATACTGACACATGTTATGCACGCACAAGAAAAAAGGATACACGCAGACGTATAAAAACACAACGACTTACGCTCAATAGTGGCAAAGTGCAAACTGCGGATTTCACACGCTTAAACACTACTTACAATCATTTGACAAGCATCACCCAGCTGCTTATTCCCTCAAGGTACAAAGTATGTTTGTCTACCAGACGCGTGAAGAGAGAATCAGTCCAATTAGTTAGGCAGACTGTGTCCATATCACTTTATTTAAGATTTGATAACTGCGGGAAAGTTTGTCTCTCAGTTTAAATATCATGTTTCATACAAAGGAAAGTAGCGTCGATGTACCATTTTCACAAGAACAAATCTGCCATATATCTAGGCCTGAGGTAGCAACAATCTACGAAGAGCAGGCGGAAACTTCTTAATTAACTCTTTAAACCCTGAGTTTTTTCCATCGTTTCCAGGAGGTTTTTTTCTACAGTGACCTAAACCTAGTGCACTATGTCTCATTATAACCCCAAAAGCTTGCCTCCAACTCCTAAATAGCGGCAACAAAGGTTTAGTCCTTACTAATAAAGTTGGTTCAGGAGGAGTTCCAAAAAACAAGCAAAAACTAGCACTACATAAAACGAAATAGCTGTAACCAGTACCGGACGTCCCCAGCGTCCGATGGGGTTCTTAAAGGGTCGTTGTGATTGTGGATTCATGCTATGTTTAGGGGGGTGGGGGGGGGGTACACCCTGAAAGTCCCAATACTGGTCAAAATTAAGGATTTTGAGGTGTAGGCAGGTTTGGCTTCTTCTGTCTCTCTTACAACT